TGTGTGTGTGTGTGTGTGTGTGTGTGTGTGTGTGTGTGTGTGTGTGTGTGTTGCGTATAAGCACACACACCTCTCTATATACATATTTGCATATACACTCATCCACCAACACACCTACACATACTTCACCTCCAAACTAACCATACCTGCACACTCTGCTTACTCACTCGCCACATGACATCTCCTAACAAGCACCTGATAGCCTTCGTAGCATCGCCACCACCCGCCTGCACCCTACCCGTACCACCCCCATCCTCTTCCAATAGACACGCCTCACTGTGTTTCCACACTTTGCCCACACGTTTTAACAGGCCTTTGCGTAGACCAATAGGATGCGAGATAAACTCCAACAGACCCTTCATGGACCCAATTCCCTGGTGTCCTATTGGTGTTCCCGTTACTGCCCATCTGTGCACAGCGTACATGCGACTGACCATCTCTGCAGGGCTGTAGATGGCATGTGACAGAATGTACATATGTAGTAGTACCCAGGGGGTTAAACAAAAACCCATGAACCACTACATAAACAAACACCCATGAACCACAGCATACACAAACACCCATGAACCACTGCATAAACAACCACTCTCAGCAACACAACCCAAACAAACACCCATGAACCACTGCATAAACAACCACTCTCAGGAGCACAACCCAAAAAACACCTATGAACCACTCCATAAACAAACACCCATGAACCACTGCATAAACAACCACTCTCAGCAGCACAACCCAAACAAACACCCATGAACCACTGCTTAAACAACCACTCTCAGCAGCACAACCCAAACAAACACCCATAAACCTCTGCCTAAACAACCACTCTCCGCAGCCTACATACTGACACACGCCTGACTCCACCATCTGAGCTTCGTCCAGTACTATACGCCACCAGTCCACACACACTAGCACGGTGCGCTGGGGCGTGTACTTGGCCTCGTGCCGTCTGCTGCGTGTGCTGAGCACTCGCGCGTAGTACACATCCTTCGCCAGCACACGGTACGACGTGATGACGACG